TATATTTTGCTGCACTTTGAGGATAACTGCTCAGCTGTGATGCAGATACCATGGACGCAACATGAATATATGAATGAAACAGCCCCAACGTTATCAGGAATGACGCACCCTTATTTTGGGTAGAATGACACCAGCAACAACTGACGACCGTACTGCTCGTTGTCACCACTTATTGCCTCAGGTGTAGGATGCACAGATAAAGACAGTGCCAGATTGGGCAATCTTGAAATGCGAGAACCATCCTTGTCAGTTAGCTAAGAGAGAGTAGAATTCATCTATCTGACTTAAAGCCCTGGAGTTCACAGTCCACGTCAACTGATCCGCAAAGGGAACGAACGGAGTGAACGACATGTAGCACGTTGATTTCACAAACCGACAAAGTTTTATTTCCGTTTTTTTGGTGTGATCTGAGCTTTCCCACCAAAAAGGCGTAGCACAAACCACGGACAAATTCCTAAGTGCACATACACCGAAATGCACCACAATCTTGAATGGAACTGCGCAAAGGGTGAATGAAATGCTAAAAGGCTAGGGAAAGTGCGACCAAACAACAACGTCATATCTAATAGAGAAATGTCAACAGAAAGAGATATTTTAGATGAGTAGCGGCGCCTAGACGATAGACTGCTCTCCCTGGGGACATTTTATCGCTCCAAGAAGCTGAGGTACGCATCAGCGACCAGATCCCTGTACGCTGCTGGACAAGCAAACTAGACTAGGGGAAAGATAACACAAGTCTTTAAGTCTTGGCATGTTATTCTTCAATAGATAACGAGGTTTCATAGCTAATCCAGCTAAAAGTGCCCCATAGACCCCTGGGTTGCAACCACATATATCGAATGAGCACCCAAGGAGGAGGCATTGGCAACCACGCACCAACACAATGCCAACAGTTTGCATTTGGTCGTGCAACGAACACATCTCTCTCTATGCGCGGGGCCAATAAATTTGGCCGTGCTTTGTTATCGCGGAATATTATTTCCTAAAGTTGCGGTACGTTGGCGGTACGTTCGAACCTGGTTGCGTGATATTTCCTCTCTGTGAATTTCCATTGAATTGCGTTAAAAAGCACGGTAAAACGAACTATACAGTCTGTTTTACTACTTTACAAACTTCATAGTAAAATATCTGGCTAAAGGTACACTTTCTTAAAGGTTTTTGAATACTAGGTTTCTAAAATGCCGTTTTTCAGTAATTATTGACGCCCGTTTTACGTTTTGTGTCCCGCAGTAAATTAGGTGTCCCACATTTATCAGTTTACTTACATTGCACATCTTTTTCGAAATATGCCACTTGCTAACTTTCCGTGTTTGAATGAAGCGTGCGGTAAAAAGATGGGAGGGGAATCATGTACGACGTGTGTGAAGAATGGGCTCACCAAAGGTGCACAGGGGTCTCTTCGGAGATCTACGCTTTGTACTTTAAACATGGTGGACTAGAATGGGTGTGCAACGGGCGCAAAGCGATTGCACGCCATCATAAAGCCAAAAGTGGTGTCCCCGGAAAGTCACCAAGACTGGCCGAAACAAAACGAGTGGAGAATAGGGAAGTGATGCTTGGAATTAGTGTTGATTTTTTGAAAATACTTCCAAACCCATGATGATTCAGGGCGACATAACTCGATCTCTGTATTGCTTCTCTATCGACATTTTTCAATCACAAACAGCATACATTATTCTTTATCTCTTAATTCCATGCCCCTGTAAATTTGAATTTGGCGTGCTCAGAGAACGTGATCAACCTGTTGGCTCTTGTTGGACATCCTGTTTGGTCCTCGATTACTTGAGTGCTTTTGGCCACATATTTGAGGTTGGCTTTGTTGTACATCTTGTAATGATTTCTCTCATTCAGTACCGTAGAACATTACGGATCAATCGTGTTTCATTTCGGGAATCGTATCGGTTTCGGCTACGCGTCACTCAAGTGCGAATTGGTTGAAGTACAACGGCTGCAGCGGTAACAGCCAACACCTATGCCGAGGTGGTGAAGAAAACACCTCCGAGTTAACCAGCTCCACAAACTCGTCAAATGCAACCAAATGCTAAGATTGTCAATATAAGCCGAAAACAGAAAATCTACGAACCAGCAAGGGAGTCAGGGTTATTTTGAGTAACAGCCTGCACCACATTGAGAATGAAACTGCATAAATTACGTGCAGAGGTAGCCTCGATCAAGGCTGTTAGGGCAAATAGAAAGTTTAGATACAACACGTTACCGGTCCTCAATAAAGGAGAACCA